TGGTTCCTAGCACCGTGGGGCTCTGCCAACAGCACACCTTTGGCCAATGAATGCCCCTCCTCTGCTCTGCTCCACCGCTGTGGGTTTTGCCACTTGCTGTTGTTCTCGTCTCTGCCCTGGCGCCCTCACTGGGTTCGTGTCCTTCTAATATGTCCTCCGTACCACCAAGGACTTCACATGTTAACAGATGGCACCCTGATTGCGGGGTTCACCGAGTACTGGGAATTCTGTGAGGCAACAGCTGTGTCAGTTCCATCTCAGCTTCTTCCAGGCCTGGCAGAGGGCCTGAGCCACAGTAGGTCCACAGGATGCATTTTAAGATGAGTAGTTGGGTTAATACATGCCCAGCATTTGGAAACCTTCTTTCTTCCTTCCTTCCTTCCTTCTTCCTTCCTTCCTTCCTTCCTTCCTTCCTTCCTTCCTTCATTCCTTCCTTCATTCCTTCCTTCTCCTCCTCCTCCTCCTTTTTTTTTCTTCTTCTTCTTTTGAGACAGGGTTTCTTTGTTTTAGAGCCTGTCCTGGAACTAGTTCTTGTAGACCAGGCTGGCCTCGAACTCACAGAGATCCACCTGCCTCTGCCTCCTGAGTGCTACCACCACCCGGCAAAAATCTCATTTCTTCATAAACATTGGGGGAAAAAAATAACCCATCTGCCCTCGAAGTATCTGGGATTCCAAGCATAAGGGCTCCGATCTGCTTGAGGGGCTTGATCTATTTAAATGGAGCTGCTCTTATTTTGCAAGCATCTTCAAGGAGAGTGTGCAAGGGCTGTTGCCCAGAGGAGGCCTGAGGCCCTATGTACTAAAGTCTAAGCATTTCCCGGTGGTGCCAAGCTAGGCAGGGAGAAGCGGCGCTGTGATGCCATTAATTATTGCTCTACCCAGGCTGCTCCAAGTTTGATACTAATTGCTCAGTGAACAAATTGCAGATGCAGGTAATCACTAAACCTAATGTGGTTCCTGTCATGTTTGAATAAATTAATGCAAAGCAGACAGCTGCTTCTAGGCTGCTTGGGAAGCAGCAGTGACTTTTCCCAGGTCATGAATCTCAGCAGATGCAACCACTCCCTCGCAGGGGTTGGTGTCTCCCAGGTCAGCCTGGCCGTTAGATCTCACGCCAGAGCTTGGAGGCCTTGGTCATGCTGAGGGATGACAACCCCCTCCCTCGGTGTGTTCCCTCATCTGTTGTGCCATCTTGAACGTTTCTTTCATCCCTGTGATCAGTTAGCAGCAGGCAACACACGCATCAGTTCCTCAGGAATGGGATTCTGCACTAAACCAGGAATAAAGTGCTGGGTTCAAGCTGGTTCAATTCCTGCCCTTAGACATCTTATAACCAGGATATCGCTGTTACTTATTATTCAATATCTGGCTGTCATTAACAAGCGTTTGATAGTAATTTTCTCATTTAATGGGCACAACTTTCCGGAAACCTCGAAGCAATTCACACAGCAAATGAGAGGCAGAGTCAGGGTCTGGACCCCAGCATTCTGCCTCAAGAATTCTTAACTACCCCACATACACTTCTTATTCTTAACTTTCCCCTATCCCACTTCAACCTTAGGACAGTCACATCTTCTAAGCTTGATTTTCTTCACAGGTGAAGATTCTGCCACCCACTATGTGCCCAGCTGTTTGACAGATGTTAATCTGACCCTGACTCAAAGGTGTCAGGTACACAGGAATAGCTGGCTTGGTCAGCTCACACAACTAGCTGATGGAGAGTTTGATTTTCTCTCAATACTTGTTAAATCTGAGGAGGTATGGATGTTCACAGGCATGCCTGCATGCAGCTGGGGTTTGGGACTTCTACTTAGAGAAACACTGTAGGAGCTGAACCATGAACTCTGGGACATCCTCATGGATCTACAGGCAAATAGGAGCCTAGAATTCAAGCGGGGTGAATTTACAGGGCGGCCATCCGGATTACTGTAAATACCTTTATGCTGTTTGTTTTCTATCAAAGTAAAAACTCCTACATTAAAAATGTGTAAATCATGGAGACTTGGGAATAATACACAAGCCGTGGCTGGATCGCTGTAGGCTAAAACGCATAGGAAACTTTGTTCCTGGTTGCTCAAGGAAGCTAAATCTCCTCCCTTTGTTCAGTGTTTATAAGCCACCATAGCCTGTAAGGTGGTTGTATTTAGTTTGTTTCCTATTGCTGTGATACAAACCATGGCCAAAATCAACTCAGGGAGGAAAGGGGTTATTTAGCTTACAGGCCCTGATCACACTTGATCATTGAGAAAAGTCAGGGCAGAAACTCAGGAGGTAGCATACCAAACAGTGGGACTGTGAAGATACTCTTGGTGAAGCCCTTTGTACGTCTACTGTCATCTGCAGAAAGTCACAACTAAGAAGATACTGAAGTAAAACATAGCAGGGTCTAAAAGAGTCGGAGAAGATTCTAATGCACTAGCACCAGTTGTTACAGTCACCGGTCCCTGATGGGCACAGCAGTGTGGACAGGACAGGAGGCACTGACTTCATTAGCATCCCACACCCCCTCAGTCATTCTCCCTGAGTCGCTGTGTTCCATACCCTGGATGGAGCTCTTCCACGGAGCCTCCTTGCCTCTCCCCAGCCTTGATGAGCTTGGTGGGACCGGCTCACACTTCTCAGGCCTGTTCAGGGTTGAGAGGGAATGAGGTCCCACTGGCCCCTGCTGCCCCTGTTGCTCATTCTAGTTCCCTGGATCAGAAAGATTATTTCTGGCACACGAATGTAGCTGCAGCTGTGGCCTCTCCATCCTCCACACCAGGCTTCTGGGGAGGCCCTGCCGGGAAAACCACCTCTGCCACTAGTGTACACTTTTTCAGGTAAAAAAGGTACCCTACTTCATCTGGAGGGATAACTGCCTGGCCCTGGGAAAGGCTTGACCTTCTGCACCTGAATTGGTCTACCTGGAAGTTTTCTGTGAACTGTTCTTCAGGCTTCAAAGCCCCCCAAAAGTTCTTTAGCATAGAATAGGACAGAATTTGGCTTTCGGTAATTTTTTCCTCAGGAATTTGGCTCAATACAAAATCTGGCGTTTGTCTTCCAGTAATCAAGATGGACCTTTCCCTTTGTCCTGCCATTCTCTTCCTGACTCTGTGTCGCTCTCCCAGCTTCTAATGGACACTCTTCTCATGATGGTCTAAGTCACTTAGCTCCTCCAAAGTCTTTCCTACCTTCATAAAGATCTGGTCCCAGCAAAGGGCTCAGGTCCCTACTAAATCCAGTATTTCCCCAGGTCTCTGGTGAACATGTCCTCTTAGGTCTTGTGAGCTGGACGTCATATACGGCTTCCTTCATGTTTAGCTTCCTGAGTAGACCGCCTCTCCTCTATGGTCCTCCAGCCCCTCCCTCTAATGGCTCCCTCACATGACCCATTCCACCAAGAACTGATTCTTTCTTTGTAGCCTACGCTTTGCAGCTTGTGCCTCAAGGGTGATGTGTGGTTACATCACTCAGTTTCTCTGCTTCTCCAGCACTCACTCTGAGCCCATCTGCCCCATGGCCCCCGGCTGCGAGAGATTCTGCCATTGTTTCTTTAAAGCCTTTCCTCAGTTCCAGCAATTTTGGCATTAAGAATGCTTGGATTGTCATAGTCTTTGACACTGGACACTTGTTAAGATCCCGACTACATGCTGAATTGGGGATTTTTCCTTTCTCTGCATGAAAGGTCAGACACACAGAGTGTCTTTTGCTGCTTCTGGGTTACTCTTTTCCTCATCACTACCTGACTCTTCCCAGGGATTCCAGGAAAGCCTCTGTATGCCTATTTTTCATATTTGGAGCCCCCTTTGGGCCCCTAGTCATAAAAATATAGCAGGCCAACACTTCCATTTCTTTACCTCTTTTATCCAATCTACCTGCTAAGTCAGAGGCCAGTGATAAATAAAGCCACCAACTTCATAAACCTTCCTCACTGCACCCCACCTTATATCTACAATCTCCCTTTGGGATGCTCCTCAGCCTTTGACAGATCTCGTAGTATCCATTACACTGGCCAAGCTGCCTCTCCAGCTCCTCACCGGCACCACACCCCTTGTATGCTACTGCTAGGATTTGAAATATCTGTTCTAGCTATTTGACAGTTCTTAGTGACATGCCTCACTGCCCTCTCTAATTTCCATACTATGGGCACTAGTCCCATAAACCCTATAGAGACTGACCACCATGCCAAAATTTTCTTTGTAACCACCCCTGCCCCGGCCACATGGACACATACACACACACACAAACACACACACACTCACACACTTACCCAAACACACACACACATATAAACACTCACGCACACTCACACTCTCACACATTTACACACACACTCACACTCTCACACACTTACACACACACACACACACACACACACACACACACACACGATCCTCATCAGACTATGTGCAGGGTAGGCAGTTGGTATGGAGGCAGTTGAATACTCAGGAGGGGGAGTAAATTGTAAACAATCCCAGATGGGATTTTTTTTTTTCCAGAGAGTACAGATGAATGCCCCAAGATGGCAGCTGCTTGGTTTGAAGGACAGTCCCTCAGCACACTGGCTGTGTGCATCTTTCCTCCTCAATCAAGGTCACAGGGTATAGTCTGGCATCAGAAACCACAGCACAGATAGTTGATTAACATTTTAGCATGGGCACCAGAAAGCTACTGAAAGGGCTTATTCAGGTCTAGTTTGTGACTGTTGGCGGGTTTATTCTGACAAGTGGCACAGAAACCACTTTGGACAAAGGAATCTGGGTCCCTGCCCCAGCTCTATCCTTCCCTCTCTGTGGAACCTAGGGCTCTTTCCCCTAGGATGCCATTTCCCCGCCTTTAACTTAGACAATCTAGGTGGGTGCTTTGGTTTCCCTCTCTGTATAGTTTCATCCCATTCCATTCCCACCTTTCTATGTCCTCAAATACATTCAAAAAAGGGATGTGGAGAGGTGACATGGCGCCTCTTTCCTTTGAAGGAAGTCTGCTGAAACTCCTCTGCTTTCTCGCCTTCCTCCTTAGGTACACCGTTTTGCACAGTGGACATCACCAGGAACTGGAGAAACTGCCCATCCACAACGACCCAGAGTCCCTGGAGTCGTGCTTTTGATTGACGACATGGCTTGCCATCGGGCTAGCCATTCCCATTCATGTCTGCATGAGCAGGACACCCTGGACACACTCTTGACCCTGGTCATCACCAGTGACGCATGAAGTATGAAGTACCAGGGCCCAGTGAAGATACACGGAAGGTGGTGTTGAGTGGAACCTGGATCCAGCACATCAAGGATTTCAGAATTGTGTGGGGACTTCAGGCATCATCAGACCCAGCGTCATACCAGAGCCCGAGGGGCCCCTCTCCTTGCATACTGACGTGAGGTCAGTCTCTGCTCGCACCTCTCCAGGGGACAGGAGCTCTCTACCTCCTAACGTAGCCCCCGTCTGTGGTGGGAACGCTCTAATCACGTGGAAGCCCTGTCGTTCATTGGCACATGAGTCTGCTGTGCTCTAGATTCTGTCGGGGCAGAGCAGTTCGGTCTCCTCTTCCTGTCAGAAAGCCTTAGCTATTGGAAGGAAATGACCTGCCCCCCACACCCACCCCTCAGTCTTCTCACTCAGTGGAACATCTCCAGTTCCCTCTTCTTTCCAGCAGTCTTCTGGACCGCTTTGCTGGGTCCAGATGTCTGTCCAGATGTCTGTCCAGAAGCACTAAGTACTGACATGAAGGGCATCAGGAGGTTTGGTTTACAGCTGCAAACATTTTCTTTTCCTTCCTTCCTTCCTTCCTTCCTTCCTTCCTTCCTTCCTTCCTTC